GCTATTAGCATACGCCCTGATTTTTCTCGTCAGACCAACCATGACGGTTAACGCTTTTTGCTTGAGCTCGCACGCGATCCCAAAAGTCATTCGGAAGTTAGCTATCGCGAAAATTCAAGCGTATACGATTCGATGGAATTTTGTAAAACGAAAGTGTTCGAGGAGCTCTTCAATAACACTTATCTTCTCCTATATAATTTCTTCATAAATTACTTACATTAAAAAATATACGTGTACTTGAGTATTTCACGGAAGAGTACGCGCGAATGCGTGCTGAAACAGATCTTTCGATGTTTCGAATTTCCTTGAATATATTGTATGCACTTTGTGATTCCGTTCTTCCCGGACTCTCTATATAAATCATTTTTTTTCAGAATTTATATTTAATAATTAATTAAATATGAAAAGAGAGATCTTAACTTTCAAATAATTAAGCATCGAAATTATTTTAAATTTAATCGAACGTCCTCTACTTAAAAATAATTAACTGCATGATTATTTTCAACTTTATCAAACGTTCTACTTGAAAATAATTAATGCCCACTATTGATTTAAAATGCTCCCATTTGTTAAATATCCGAAACTTGGTATCAGAAATTGCGATGACAGCGTAATAATGCCAATTGTGCCAATCTTTTAAGGCATTTTTAATCTTAATCACGAGCAATATTATCAGAGTTATCAGAGAGAATGTACATTTTCACAGTGTATAAATTCGTTCGCAACGTGTTATTATATAAAAAATATTTTCCGATCCACTTATGCAATGTTTACGTAATATTGTTATGTTACTCGCGTGAAACGATTTAGCAATATTGGACAGAGTATACCTATACAATCCATGAGAAATGCTACTCGATTTTTTAAACTCTTGTTGCCTTTACTCACTTCCTATCTTTGCGCTTCTTTCCAGCTCCTTTTATCGTGCACATAGATTTTTATTTTTCATTTTTTGATCTCGCATGCAAAGACGCGATATCATTCCTGATCACTGATCACTTAGTCGATCGAATGAAAATGCATGGAATTCTCTTCGAAGCTCGAATCGCTTCATCCATTTATGCAAATTATATAGGATAGTATCGTGACAAACCTGTATCATTCGTTTTTTAATATTAAAGAATTCCGTGCGTTTTCTCTGTAGCTCCATATAAATGATATTGTTGACTTTTTAATCTATCGCAATACCACATAATTGATTTTTTAAGTTAACGCAGATCATAATTAATGATCTGCAGTCTGTTTAGAATTTACAACTCCATCGATCCGTTTTTGCAACATCTTTATATTTTAAATATGACCGTATTAATTTTTAATCGATCACAGATATTGAAAAAAACTGAAAGAAGCAATAACAAAGTAAATTCCAAATATATCTAAAGTTCACTAATTTATGCTAGTATCTCAAATGAATCTTACAAATTATGACATTGTCTTTTTCGTTCATTAAATTCTATAATTTTTAAATTAGCCAAGAAACTTTGTACATCAAATTACTTCAATTATAAAAAATTTAATGTTAGTATTAGTATTTTATAAGACATCATATATATTATTTTAAATATTGTATTGCTTCTTTCTGGTCAAAAGATTTCTGTTTGATATTTCTTCAGTAATTCTACCGAATCTTCGACTTTGCATTTTGTATAAGTTATAAACGCGTACGTGTAAATTTTTCGAGCGTAGCGCAAATTATTTGATATTCCCTGTCTGAGTATAGGAGGTACATCGTGTATCTTTAGTGCGGTTCAAGGTCGGACGGTGTACGTTGAAGACGATAGCCGTAAGATACGCGCGTAGGTGCATTAACCCTTCGAAGAGCTCGCCGCCACGCGACGTGGCTATAGCTCCACAAAGAGTATAATGCTGGCGTTTGTGAAACAAGGCGGATAAACGAATATTTTCTATGGCCGAGAGGCAAACGAAAGTATATATCCAATGCTATCAATTTTTGACATATTATCATACATGAGAAAAACAAGTTAATCTTCAAAAAATATAATTATTTGAAAAATTATGCAGTTATGCAGTAAAAAAATCTATGTCAGAACAAAAAAGTTTTTATAATTTGAATAAATAAATTTTATTTTATAGAAAAGAATTGTTTAAGCTAATAAAAAATCATTTTTATTTTTACACGTAAGTTTTTCTCGAGTTGACTTTATATATGTATACATGCTTATATTTAATTTAATTTATAACGAGTGAACATAATTTTAGGATCATTGCAAGATTTCTTCTGATAAAAACAGTTTTTGAATTTCATTGTATACTTCTTCGATACTTGATTTGGCCCGGTGCCTCGAGGTATGACGAGAGGTACTTAATTCTCTTGGGCAAATTAATACCGTTAGATGACTATTAAGAAAATTCGAGATATAAATTATCATGATGGATTTTTGTAATTCTTTCGCTACGCAAGATTCGATTCTCATCTTAATTAAAAATAATTTGTAAAAATAAAATCTTTTTGTTTAAACATTTTTTTCTTGTAGATCTTTTTACTGTATTACTGAATCATTTTCAAATAATTATATTTTTCGAAGAATAACTTGCTTTTCTCATCTATAATAAATAAAAATTGATGTGAATTGTAAAATTGTTAAAAATAAAATCTAACAAAAAATCGCTATCGCGTGCGGTACAATATACTTCAATTATCTTAATAATCTTTTAAAATTATATTAATATTATAAAAAATCATGTTTTTACACTGTAAATATAGTACAATCCTTCCTTCAGAATGTAAACAATTTTCTAAATCTGAACTACTATATGCCGTAGTGATATCAACCGATTATAAAAAAATGTTGAATTTCATGAAGAAAATTATAAGCAACTTTTTATATTTCCACAAAGTTGCGAATTCAGATGCAGACACATCGTAAAATCGTACGAGAAACGCTCTGTACGGTAAACATTTTTATTTAAAAAAAAACACTACTCACTCATAGCTGCTTATGTCGTCTTCTACGAGCTAGCAGTCTGGTCCATGGTGAGCCGACGAGGAAGGCCGCACCTCGTTGGAAATACACCTGAGCGTTTGCGGGCGTTCCCTTCGACCCTTCGGAGAAGCAGGATCGTAGGCGTAGTAACCGGAATCCAAAGAATGCTGTTGGAATCGCGACTACGAACTAATCATATCCTGCTTGGGAAAAAAATTAAAAAAAAAATAAATAAAAAATATAGAAAAAAAAAACAAAGAAAAATTGGAAATCGAATTTATGCACTTCGTGGCGAACTTACAACGCGAATCGCGAGCGCGGATATGGAAGACCGTGTGCTCGACTTGTCTCTTCACCGTTAGCTCGGCCGCATCGCGGTCTTGAAGTCGACTGTAAGAACCGAGCACAGCCGCGTCCGTCCATGGTAGAAATCCTGTCCAGAGCTGTAGCAGCGTGGTGTGGTAGGGCAGCAGCCTTCGGCGGTGGGCCTTCTCGTAGGCAAGATACAAGCTTCGCCCTTGAAGACGAAGTCTGCCAGCGACGTAAAAACCTTGTTAAAGGGAAGTTGACAATCCTGTCGTGATCATGTCCAGTACTAAATATCAGCCTCTGATCCGATAATGTTTACATTCTTTTGCACATCCTGTTTATGGTTGAAGACATATCTGGAAATAATATAATAATATATTACAATTTTATAGTCACTGATATTTTAATGCATAGTTTAAATGTAAGTTTATGTAAACAAATAAGATAATGCAAAGTTCTCGGGATTTTTTGCGTTGATTTCTTAAACTTAAAAATCCGAATAATTTTTTTATTTTGACAAACAAATCTTAAATCGATCAAATTTAGTCATTAAATGTATCTCTTTATCTCTATAGTTGCATACCATTCTTTTAGATTATAAAATCTTTCAAAGGTTGGGGACAAGTTTATTCCTCACTTGTTGCTTCCTCCGACTTTCAATCGTGTCCCTGAACTATACGCGACAAGATTTTGTAAATGTATTGCATGTCCGATGCAATTCTGTCTTTAGTTTTTCATGCGCTGCTATTACAGCCTGATTTTCTATATTGAAAAATTTGGTAAATTAATATAATCAACCCGTCAAAAAAGAGAAAAAGAATTTTTTAAGAGAAACATTTTTTTTGTATCGCAGCTATATTTTGCAAAAAATTACATAGATCGGAATTAATTAAAAAAGAATTTAGAATTGTTCTGCAAAATTAAGTATATATTCTTTTCGAAATAAAAGTTTGAAAAATGAATAAATATGCTTCTATTTTTATTTTTATTATCATTATTTAACGATATAATTACATACTAAATGTGTAAAAACATCAATTATTTAAAGAAAATAAATTGTTTTATATAGTAGAATTAAAAATAGAGAGATTTAATTGCTGTCACATTATATATCTATATCTTATAGTAATGTATCTTATAGCTAATAAAATGATATTAATTAATATCATTTCATTAGCTGTAAGATACAGAAATATCTCAAATAACTTTAATGATTTTAATAACATAGTGTGCGATTTGATACGTGTAATTAGCACAGCTAGATATTTATCATCGACGATAGAAGATGCAATGTAATTCGTTGCGACTGCAGAAATACGGAATATGCAGATTACCGCTACGCGCGTACGCGTTAAAATGCTGATTTTGTACACGAGAAAGAGAGAGGCAAGTTATTACTAAATTGATAACTGGTGTCGGACAAACCTGTCCGTTTACCTTCGTCCAACATTTCTTCGTTATATACGGGCACGAATCTGTGGTCTTTTAGTCCATGCATTTATAAATACCGATCGACATATTTATCTCTATAAGATATATATATTTATCTATAAGATATGTTATACATAAAACAAATTTATGTTAAGATACAGTCGAGTTTCTAATTACATTTAATGAAGTTAAGAAAACTTATCTTACGGAAAAATACAGACGTGGAAATGAGATTTAAAATGCGTTAGATCTCCACAGATTGGTGCTCTCAAGTCAATTTACTTGTTTCATGATATGCAACTACTCTTGTTTCAGAGTCGGGCCTGGCTTTCCAGATTCCGTTCGCACGTGCTTGTTACATCAAAAGTTGCAGGTACGTGAATTGCCAAATATTTTATGTAACGCTTACATAACTTATGTATCTTCTTTGAGAAAGAAAAAAAATGCCATTGGCTTCATTCTTACCTTTTGCACGTGTAGATGATGAACTGCTGCATAGCACGGAAGAAAGCAAGGGAGGAGAATGCGCATAGATCTCTGAGCATGGAGATTGACGATGTAGAGGAGACAGGTAACACTCGCAATATGTTTAATTGCGCTTTTGCTTGAAACTCGAAAGCTCTTTGCTTCGATTTTCGTAGAATCCGAGGAAGAGGAATTCTTTGAATGTTCGAGCGAAGAGCTGGCAAACGAAGAGATTTCGTCAACGAGGATGCAATTGAAGGCGAAGCACTTGCTGTGGAACAAGCCCACGGGAAGATTGGCTAAACATCCTTCACTCAGGTAGGTTTATGTTAATGAGTGACAGCCGTGAATTGAGATTCGCGTGAAACTTATAGAATGAAATTTTTCTTCTTGATTCTTGAAGTATTTTAATTTGATTAACTGAAAAAAAAAAAAAAAAAAATAAATTAGTATCATATTTTAAACTATATATTTTGTTATTCTTTTAAACAATTAGTATGCTAACTGCTAATAAACAATTGTCAGCGTTATATGAACAATTTAATTATCTTTTATAATCACGTATATAATATTCGTGGTACTGTTCGCGGAGTAGTTTGAGAAGATACATATATAGTTTTGTGATCAATGAGATGGAAATTGATGTGTAGGTTGATTCAAACTGGAGACCCTCTTTATCTACCAGTCACGCAGGATCCCGTACCGAAGACGGAAGATCAACTGGAGGAGGATGCACAGGTGATGATGCAACTCGGTACTGACAAGTATGCTTCCGAAATGCGAGCTCGAATGATGAGCGCATCCTTGCTGTCTGACATGGAATCCTTCAAGGTTCGTATTGATCTTAAAATCTGGCAATCTAATTTTTTACGAAACATATATTTACTTTTATCATATATAATTCAGGCGGCAAATCCTGGCGCAGTATTGGAGGACTTTATTCGATGGTATTCCCCGAGGGATTGGATTGACGAAGAGGGCGTCGACGAATGGGGACAAGGGAAAGGTCAGTATTATTTTCGTGATACATAAAAAATTTCAGGAAATTAATTAAAATATATTTTTTAATTAAAAATATATAGGAATATAAAGATATGTCCTGAAATTTTTATTAATGACGTTCATCGCAACATTCTTTATATCGAATGTCGAAATGCAGGCCACTTGTCGGCGCGTATGATGATCCCCGATAATCCGTGGTCGACGACCTGGGCATCGGCGCAGCCAGTTCCCGCGCACCGGCAAAAGCGATTGTTCGACGACACGCGAGAAGCAGAGAAGGCTCTGCATTATCTGTGCTCGAAGCGAATATGCCAGGTTGCGCAGCTTTTGCTACCGTGTCTGACGCACGCCGCGCTCCACACTCTGAGCTCGCAAAAGCAAGAAGCTCTTCCGAGTTTGCCTGATGTAGCGCAGAGCATACTTAATAAGCTCCAATTTGCGACGAAACCAATTCATCAGAAACTACAATTGTACGAGGTATATACCTCAATCAGAATCTCCGATCTACCATAATTAGGATTATTATTTTAATTACTGAATATTATATAAATATTTATATAACATGTTACTTTAATTCTTCCTCAGGAAATCACGCGCGACGTCGAGAGTGTGGAGGCGCTAGTCGCACAGGTGAATTCGCTGCAGCACAAATTAGGCGGGAAAGACTCTAAAGAATTTACATCCTTCTTAATTCAACTGATGCGAGGAAAGGAAGTGAGCGTACCCGGTGGTTCCAGGGGAGACATCGGAGCCCGAATAACGACAATGTTCCGCGACGCTCAGAAGGTAATAATTTTTACAGATTCATTGTCAATTCAATTATCATACATTTCAATGTAAAATAAACTTCGGCTTTGTTTCAGGCCGCTCACATGATGACATCCCTCAGCAATACCAACGACGCAACGAATGCCGCAAGAGACGGCCGGCATAAAACGTTTCCCGAGCCGTCGTGCAAGGAGTTTATTTTACGGGCGATAATGCCACGGCCTTCGCCAGCCTCCACGCCGCAACCGCAGCGACTTTACGCCTGTCTTAAACGAGATCACATTCGTTTGGCCGGATTCTTCTCCGAAGATTCGACATTTCTGTAATGTCGGCAAGAATTCGCCGTTGTGGTATTTATTCAATTGTTCGCAATGTCATGTCTGGGGCGACTAGAAGTGATAACGAATCATGCATCACTTTATTTCTTCAATATATCAGATGGCTTTCGATTTCATTTCCGTCGAAGAAACAAGCACAAGAAATTGTGTGCATATGACGTGCGATATTTTGTTAGTCATACGGATTGTTATTAGTTCGTTCCTACGCATATTGTGAATAGATATTTTTTATGAAAAATATTTATCTAGATTTAGGAATTAAATATGAAATTATAATTTTCTCACTGAAGGTTGTATATACAAAACATACCGTATTTAGTTATGTTATGGAATGGACGGTGGATCCAACAAAAATATCCTCTTCTCTAGTTTAGGCGGTGCGGACAGAAAGTCCCGCACAATGTGATCGATCTCCTCCAGTGCTAACTGAGCGTGAAGCCGTAATACGGGATCGTCGTCATTGTCACGCAAATGCTTCAATCCGCGATACAAGTCAAGTAGATCGCTACCGAGACTGTTCAACGTGTCCCTGCCGAGGCCGCGAAATAGAAGCGTAGCTACCAGCACAGCGGCACGTCGACATTCGGGCGTTTTGTCCGATTTTATTATGCACGCGATGCAATAAAGAATCTAAAGGCGTTAAAATCAAGTTTGCAGAAAGTCCGATACTCTGTTTTCGGAACTTTTCATATATACATACCTCGACAAGAAGATTTCCTAATCGAAAGTTCAACACCTTGCAAAGTTCTCCCAAGCAAGAGAGACTGGAGGCTCGTACTAAGGGATCTGTGTCACGCGTTGCACACAAAAAGCCATTTACTAGTGCATTCTTATGAACTACGCTCATTTCACCTGTAAAATATCACGTTTTAATTGTCTAATTTTTGCTCGAAACTTATGGCAGAAATTGTTAATTGCACTCTATTTTATCGTGTCCTGCATTTCCGTTTAAATAACGAATATATATATTAAATAATTTGTTAACGTGATATATTTTATAATTTTGTCGCAATATTTAATAATTTTGCAGAAGAAAAAAGAAGTTAATATTTTAGATGAAAAAGAATTTGTATGATTTTTAAATTATAGGAGAAAAAAAAGATTTATACCCAAAGCTCTCGTTGTCTTGACCAATATCTCCCCGAGTTTTATCCTAGTTTCAAAAGTTATTTCCGCGTCTGCACGATTGGGCATATCAATGTACTCCGGCATCAATATTTCTATGACTTCTTTCGGGAATGCAGTTGCTAATGTGCACAACCCGTTGATAGACGCCAAATATACGAATGAGTCTTCGTGCTTCAAATTTTCCTGCAATCAAACATTCAAGTAAAATAAATTGCGAAAGACACGGTTTAGCGAGCTTAACTTAAAAATTACCTGGAATAAACGCAAAACGACTCCTTTTCGCGCGATGGCACAAGGATCTTTATTCTCGATCAGTTTCGTGAGCGTTATGAGACCATGTGCACGAACAGGAAGTAACGGATCCGCGAGATCTCTGATGGCCTCGTCAAATTTGTTCGACGTCGTTGGATTTATCGACATGTCTTGATAGCATTTCCTCTCTTTGATTCTGGCTTGGGATTTTTCATTCGGATTATACGTCATGATGCAGGTCACCACTTCGTCGATCAATGATTTAAGTTGCATCGGCATATTCGAATTCTTGCGCTGGTCTTTTAAAAATGTAGCGAAATCTTTGAAGAGATCAATGTCAAGTACAGATTTTTTCTCAATCAGAAATTTAATCAGCATTAAGCTGATGTATAATATTTCGCATTCGCTCTCTTCTGTTTCGTCTTGATTGGTCTTTGTATATGCTTCGAACAATGATTTTATAAATGATAGCAGTGGCGTGGGATTTTTTACTTGTGCGTCTTGGATGGTACTAGTGCTAGCTAATTGTGACAGAAGTTTGTGAGCTGCGAATTGCATCGTGATATGTTCAATTTTGTCGTCTTCTGTCTCCAGCACGTTTTGTCGTTCAATTTTGTAGCTCGACTTATTTATATTCGACAGAAACTTCAACATGTAACAAAATAAGCTGGGGGATAAATTCTTTTCGATGGATACTAATTCGAAAATAGCATCAGCTAATTCTTCATATTTCAAATTTTTATTCAGGCCAGTAATTTTGAGACCACTGGTTGGTCCGAACTGTACCGTCACGTAATCTCCGAATTCTGCTGACGTATCGTGTCCAAGAAAAGCTGAATAAAGATTTTCCCGCGTAGTCTCTTTTTCAAGAATTTTCAACAAAAGTCGTCGTAGATTCGTTTTTAATATGCAAACACTCTCACGAGCTGTATTGTGCAGGCAGAATAAAGGTGTAGCAACGTGCAAAATAACTGTACAAGGTAGATGCTTAAACTTGGCATCTTCTGTTAAAAACATTTTGCTAATCTTTCTATACACTGTTCTATTTCCTTCTCGGATTTTACAGTGTACGGTTCTTTTGTTAATAAAGGCGCACAAATAACTTCTATAATATACTTTTGACAAGCGTTCGAATTGTAATCGTATAGAGCCTTAATACAGCAGTTTGCTATCATTGAACTATTTATATTTCCTGAAGAGAGCAGATCTAAAATCTAGAAAAATTAAAAATAATATTAGAATATGACATTCTATTATACATATTACATGAATTTGTTATATAGATACATGTATTACTAAGAAATATATTTTATATACTTTATTTGTTAAAAAAAAAAAATATATATATATATATATATAAATTGTCGACATAATTATATACATACCTGTGGACATATAGTTTTATAATATTCTTCCACATTCTTTCCATGCGATACTGCTATCAATTTAGAAACTGTTTCCAATTTTCTCCAATCTGTACCCAGATCCAAATCATCCTCACAAATCGCGGCGATTAATGATAACACTCCATTTGGTTGTATAAGTATTTTAATTAAATAATTCTGAGTTTCTTTACGTAGCCACTTTGGTGCATTTTGCATTCCAAGAATTACCATTAATTCTCGAAAACATAGGTATTGTGGACAATTGTTTAATAATGAAATTAATTTAGTATGAAATTCTTTCTGGCAATTTTGCAGCCTTTGGTATTCTTCTACTGTCATATGAAATTCGTGCTTATTTACATTTGAGGATTGTTCAACTTTGCTCGGTTTAGCCAATGGAGCATGAGACAATTGTAACAAGGCAGCCATTAGTGGACCAATTTGGGAAAATACAGCTGGTCGTAAATTGAGATTATCAAAAAGATCTAGGAGTGAATTTGTTGAAAAACATAATCGTTTGTATTTCTGAAATATAAAATTTGTATAAAAAAAATGTAAGTTATCAAATTATATAATACAAATCTTATATCTTATTTCACAAAAATTGGTAAAACAATGTTACCTCCAGGCAACCCAATTCCTCTTCCTCTTGAAATATTGTTAAAGCTTTGGGACATAATTTAGCCATGCCTACACCAACCCCAGATAATAGAAAAGGTATAATTCCGATCGCTACTATTAATTCCACTGCAATTTTTATAGAACGAAATTGCTTTACACTTATAGGCGAATCGGTACCTATTCTTGCATTTTCTTCTTTAATGTTGCGTAACGTATAAATTATTGTTTGCAAATACTGATTTCTATAAATAAAAACATACTTAAAATATATCTAGCCTTGCAAGAGTTTACACAGTATATAAAATTTTACCTGATGCTGACATCTTTGATCAATTGCTTTATGTCTTCTGGGAGAATTGGTATTACTTTATTCAATATTTGTGCCAATTTGCCATCAAAATTCTTAGCACAATCTGCAAATATAGATTAAATTAAAAAATATAGTATATAGTAATGTTTAATTTATTATTTAGAATATATATATATCTTTGAAAATTTACCATCATTACTGGATATTAATGTGGATAACACTTCGTAATAATCCATATTTTCTGACATTTGTTCGTGTTTACTTTCGAAATTTAGGTTAGATTCGTGGTTAGATATGAAAGCATCTGAAAAAGAATAATTCGCGATATTTTTTACTTCAATTCAACACTAATTATATGCGCGTGCAAAATATATGTATTGTATATAAATTGATAAAAAATAATTTCTCACTCTCTCTCTCTCTCTCTCCTTTCCCCCCTCTTTCTCGTGATCTTTATTCTTATTTTCTTTTCTACACGTTAAATGTTACCGCGTAAATTTCGATCAAAGTATTCCAGTTTTGTGCTTTATAATTGCGTTTCACATGCTTCAATGCGTTTAATGCCACCGCACATACTACTTTAATTAAAGAATTTTTCGTACAATACCTATTTTCCGCGGCGAAGGAGCGAGAGCGCGTCTTCATACGTGCGACTTTGAATCAACTTTGACCTCTAGGCGGCGCTGATACGCAGCACGTCACGTGTTATGTGACGGGCGTGGAGTGGGGCGGGTCACGTGACAAGTGTGAAATGGGGGGGGAACAGCTGCGCATGTCGGCGCGGGAAAGTGAGAGAGAAGAGGTACCTTTCTTTTTCTCTTTCTCTAAAGATGTTTTTAAAAATTGTTTTTATATTAAAAATATGTGTCACACCATAGTGACTGTGACATATTTATGTTTAGCGGTATTTAATCATTTCCGAAAATGATTACTTGAATCATATGAGTATCATAATGACATGTGTGTAATTTATATGCGAATACATTCATATTTGTATTAAAATTAATTTTATATAAAATTAAATAAAATTATTTTGATTTTATCTTTGTATCTATATGTGTATCATTAAAAAAATGAATGGAAATTGAAGGGAAAATCAAAAGTAGATGATTTACATTTTTTGATCCCTTATGTTCAACATTAAAGTAATTTGATTAGATTTATTTATGCGCACTTGTATTTGTATATTATTATTTTATATATAATTTTATAAATTTTATATAATTTTTATATTCATATAAATTATTATAATATATATAGTATGATTAAAAACATTCTTTTTCATTTTACCTGCTATCAGCTGATATACTGTAAATGCTCTTATTAATAAGATAAATCTTATTCATCATTATAATTATCCCCATTTTTTTTTAAGATATCTGTTATCATATCTTGACTGAAAGTCCACAATCGCGCGGCTAATGCAAGATTTAATGCTGGATTCGATGGTTGGCAACGATAACAATTGTTGAAATAGCCACCTGTTACACCCTCTAACTCAGGTGCTGTAGCACAGAATACTACTGTGCTTGCTGCTTGTTGCTGTAATGCATTATGTATTATTAATTATCTTACTTTTTTTTACAAATTGTAACAAATAAAATCCAAATATAATGATGAAACAGTAAAATGTCAAAACAGAAGTGTAAATATTTGAAAGAATATAATTTTGTTGTGCTCTTTTAAAACGCGCTCTTTGCATTTCATAGTATTTCTTGTTACTTTGCATAAATTTGTTAGAAAATTGATTTCATACCAATGATTTTGTGAATGGTCGTACTAAGGCGAACAACAATCGGTACAACCACCAATGACGTGATAAGGATGTGGACACCAGATTACCAGGATGGCAAGCAAATACGCTTACAGAGGGCCACTTTCGTGCCAGTTCTTGCGCGAACAAAAGATTACAGAGCTTCGAGTCGTTATATGCTCCCATCGTCCAGTATTTGTACGCTGCTGGTGACAAAGTTGACTGATGAATATCTTCTGGAGTACGTATTGATGAAAATCTGTATAAAGCATTATAATTGAAAATGTTGATTTTGTACTTAATTATGCAGTAGAATATATTAAGTTATTACCTGTGAGACTCACTAGAAACTATTACGATCCTAGGATTGCTAGAACTTTGTATAATATTTTCTAACAAAAGTGTCAGATAAAACTGCGACAAGTGATTGACTTGAAACGTTGTTTCGTAACCATCCTTTGTAAGCTGATAAGATAGTCCAAACACACCGGCGTTTAATATAAGAATATGAAGAGATCTGAGGAATTGGAAAATTTTATTATAAAGTAAAATAATTGATGATTATATTTTAACATATGTGTAATGAAATTACTGAAATTTCTGCTTAAATTGCTCAACAGCCTCTCGCACGCTACGCAATGACGATAAGTCCATTTGCAAAGCCATACAATTTGCAGTCTCCTTCTCTTCCTGAATGCGTTTTATAGCTTCATTAGCCTTTTCTATATCTCTACAGGCTAATATCACATCACAACCATGCAAAGCTAATGATTTGGCTGTTTCATATCCTGTGTGCATTTCTCTAATTAGGAAAATTATCAGGACAATTATCAGAAAATTATGTACTAGCAACTTTTACTTACCAATGCCTGTATTGGCTCCTGTAACAAGAGCAATTTTATTACGTAAATCTCGACCGTGCAACACTGCCATAGCAGTGCTACTTCCATCAAATCGCTGTCGCACTGGCTGAGACATCTCTCTATATTCAGTGGCAAAGGCTAGACGTGGATCTGTGTAAGTTGTTGTACGATTTGTATGGTCAACAAACAGTACTTTACCATCATCTGCTATACATCTCTCCCATCCAGGTGGTAATTCTAAAAAAATAAATTTTTAAATTCATAAATTTGAGTCTCTATTTTAATGACTGCATATTCATTAGTAATTTATTTTGGTAATTTTTTTGTACTTCTAAAATAGGACTATATGTAATTTAATATGGGATATTTTACTTTTAATTTAATATCAATCAATTGAATGCCAATTATACCTAATATAATAATATAATTATTAAGATCATAAACATGATTTATCACAAGATAATTTTTTTTATCTGTAAAGCTTAAAAAATTTACAGCTGCTATCATACTGCCCAAAGATGTTATGTAAAATTAAATAAATATTATTCAGAATTATATGCAAAATCATCATAAAGCATATGTTGAAATGATGACGTTTTAGGTTTGTCAAAATACACACCTCCGTCAACAATCTTCTTACGACCTGTTCTAGGATGCGTCCACTGCGTGCCTTTCGTGTAATGACTGCAACACAATATTACAATCTTTGAGCGAGAATTTCTGCATACTCATCAGCTATTTATATGTCTTTCTTGCATTGTCATATGCGAATTGATCTTTGATCTCTTTCGTGCGAAAATATTAAATTCTTATCGAAAAAAATGATTTATTTACTTTACGTAATAAACATTCCCATCCAACGTTGTCCTCTCTTCCCAACCTGGTGGTAGTTCGTCCTCGCTGTCAGAATCATTCAAAAGTCCTACCATCTCCTCATGAAATTCTAATTAAAGGTTCTTTTTTCTTCTTTTTTTTTTAATTATATTTTTTTATTTTTCCATCAGAAGCTTAGGTTATATATATTCATATCCATGTAATCAATCCTTTAAATGTCATTCAGGATATAAACGTCACATTTTTTATATGCGTTCCACAGATTGAAGGAATCATTCATTTACCTTTTTGCTTATTTTCATTCACATCTATGTTAAATACTCCATTCAATTAATTAGCGCCATTGATGTCACATGTTGTAGGTTTAGGTTAAGAAACCTGCAGATCAAAGAATTATTTATGTTGACATGGCTGGGAAGAAAGGAACAGAATTAGCGTTGTCTATGTTGAGAGTGTTACCTAGAGTGACATTAGCAAATATCCGAGATAATCCTGGTGCGAAGAAAAAAAGCGTAAGAGATATTACACAGAATAATGAGAAAATACAAAAATATAAATTTATATGCCATCTCTCTTACAAAAGTTTAAATAAACGCAAGTGTATAATTAAATTTTATTGTCATTGCAATGTTATATCGGTTTAATTAATTCTCTACTCAAGTGCACTTTCAACCAAATTGTTATTTTAATGATAATTTATCATCATTTCACCTCTTATCATTTCTGTGCAGCAACGTGGTAGAGGTCAACACGGTGGTAATAAACATGGTGCTGGAAACAAAGGTTCCGGGCAAAGACAAAATTATATGCGCTTGGGATACGAGACTGGCAATACTCCTTTCTACTTAAGATTTAGCGCAGAACCTTATTATAGAGGCCACCAGTAAGTTTTGCGAGTCTCCATTTTATGAGATATAAAATATATAGTATATATGTATATATATTTTATTTAATTATTATATTCTATTATATTTTATTTTATATATATATATATATATAAATATAAAAAAGCAACGCTATTCTATGCATTCCAGTGTAAGACGAGAGTATCCACCGCTTAGTTTACAACAACTGCAAATGTACATCGATTTGAATCGGGTGGATATCAGTAAGCCAATAGATCTTGTATCATTATTAAACACTAAACTATATACTATTAATGTAAATTGGAAACACGCGGGCGTTCATTTAACAGACGAGGTAAAGTTTTATAACATTTGTTCTCAATTTTAGTATTAATATTGCAATACCTGAGATTAATATAAAAACTCTATTTTAAGGGTGCAGATAATTTTAAAGCTAAAGTAAACATAGAAGTGCAATGGGCTAGTGAACCTGTAATTGCAGCTATCGAGAGAAATGGTGGTGTAATTACAACTGCTTACTACGACGTGCAATCCCTTTACGCCATGCGCGACGCAGAACAATTTTTCAAAAAAGGTATAATTTTCAGAGAAAATAATTAGAATAATTGGAAAATAATTAAAAAATAATCTTACATTACATGTAATAATTGTTACATAAAATGTGTCTAGGTGAACCGATACCTCGTCGGTTTTTGCCGCCGAACGATTGTCTGGAATATTATTCCAGCGCTGCTACGAGAGGATACTTGGCAGATCCTGAAAAGATCTCTTATGAACGATTGGTGTTGGCGCAAAAATATGGCTACGAATTACCGAGAATTGAGGATGATCCTGACTACGAGATGCTGTGCGAGCGCAAAGATCCGCGACAATTGTTTTACGGTCTGGAACCAGGCTGGGTGGTCAGTCTTACTGATAAAGTAATATTGAAACCTAAAGCCGAGTATCTGACAAAATATTACGCAAAGTGAAGCACGAGACTAAAATAGTGTGAATGTATTAGATTTAATAAATGACACTCTTACAATACAAAACTGTTTTTATATATATAATTAATTACTGAATATAATATAATATTTAAGCGAATAGTCTTTAAATTTGATAGGATGAAATTTCATAGTAATCTGGTCTATTTACTTTAAAAGGTATCATTTTGATCGAACAAATCTCGATTTTAAAATTAGCCGATTAAATTAAATATATTTAAATTAATAATTATTAAATATAAAATATACTTTAGCAAATACTTTTTAAGAAGACGATTGACAAAGCCTTCATTTTTAAATTTGGTAGATCTCATAGTAATCTGTTCACTTAGTGCACATGATTGATGAAATCAAAGAAGAAAATGGCACGAAAGTATTTCTATGCATTTTAAAAGGAAAGTTAATTATACATATATATATATATATGACATATAATGACATATATAATATGACATTTATTAATGACATCGCCGATCGAGCGAGTGTCTCGATAGTTTCGACCGTAATCGATATATTCGATAGCGATTAGTCGAACTCGAAGTGCGATACAATCGATTCTGTAGTTTACCACACCCGCGTACCTCAGCTCGCGCGCTCGCAATCGATATCCTTATTCCCGTCCTGTCAAATGGATGACAATGGCAGCGACGACGGTTGATACGATGTTGCAGAGCAATGGCTTTCAGGCAAAAAAGAAAGAGGACATCGAGAATAAGGACAACTTGTGGTACGTGTCGTGACGTTTGCTCGATGGTTATCCGCGTTATCGAAATGTCGCCGCGAAACGGGACTTATTCTCATCTTCTCGCGAGAGAATCTTCCGCTTCGCATGACACATCCATCCTATTGTTGCGTGAGAAAAATTAAGCGTTTTCCTCCGCGTATACCTAATTTCACCTCTTGATGTTACTCGTATGCTTCGCAGGTCGTCTATTCTGGCGGAGGTCCAAAACAGCGGCAACAACAAGCTACCATCCAACAAAAACGTCCTCGTTCTAGGTAAGGAGATCAATCGGAGCCGATCGACCGTAGGCCGATGTAGCACGCATATTAAGTATCTCCCCCGCTGCCTGATGCGTGTGTCATCGACAGCAAAAAAAAAAGTTATATGGTCGTATTTATGCTAATTGACAATCGGAGATAAATCGGATTTTTTATTGTAATTTTTCTCGTACACGTGATACTTGCTCATAGCATACTGACAGGTTATATTAGAGATATTCATTATTTCATTTGCGTACAGACGTACTGATAAGAGTATCATGTAGAAAAATAAATTTTATCTCTTCTTGTGAATATTACTATAAACAAGTGCAATATATGATATTTTTATATATCTGATAATTACTGTAAATACGGAGACACTTAAATTTATATTTCATTTATTTTGTATATCATTTTTAGGTGACAATGAGAGTGGAAAAACTACACTTATAGCTAAACTACAAGGTGTAGAAGATCCAAAGAAAGGTTCTGGATTAGAATTTGCATATATCGATGTGAGGGATGATTATCGAGACGGTTAGTGCAAAATCAACATAGATACTGTGATTATTAATTTGAAAGAATAAATGTATAATTTTGCAATATATAATTTCTTTGTAGATCACACAAGGCTGTCTGTCTGGGTTCTGGATGGAGACCCGGGTCACGCAAATCTTTTAAGATTTGCTCTGAATAAAGAAAGGTTTCCACATACACTTGTTATGTTAGTTGCTGCTATGACTACACCATGGGCCATTCTTGATCAGCTTCAATCATGGGCGGCATTATTAGGCGATCATATTGATAAATTACCATTAGATAATGATACTAGGCAACGCTACAGGCAGCTTAGTAAGTAGAATGAAACATGAATGTGTAATAAATAATATTGCACTATTGTTTCAATGTTAACACAAATATTGCTCATTGCTTTGACTAGTATTATATTTATTGTTTTAATTCTCAAATCTTTCCTTTAATTTAAAATAGATAATCAAGATACAATGTGCACTTTTGTAGAAAATTAATATTGTTATGCACAATTTTATTTCGTTAGATATTAAGAAATGGCAAGACTATACAGAACCAGGAGACGAATTAGATCCTGGGAGTCCTCTGCGACGTACTAGTCGTAATTTGGATGATGACACTGCTGACAGCTTACCTTTGCCAGAGGGAGTACTTACAACCAATTTGGGCCTGGACGTCGTTGTGGTCATAACGAAAACCGATTATATGTCCACTCTTGAAAAAGAACAGGATTATAAGTGAGTATTGATGGAAAAATTTATGGTACAACATAAATCATTAGTACAAATATTATAATTTTACATAATTCATTTTTATATAGAGATGAACACTTCGACTTTATGCAGCAGTGGATCAGGCGGTTTTGTTTGCAATACGGTGCAGGCCTTTTCTATACATCAGCAAAAGAGGACAAAAACTGTGATCTGCTGTATAAATATCTTACACATAGGATATATTCTTTACCGTTTAGGACACCGGCATTGGTTGTGGAGAAGGACGCAGTACTTATGTAAGGATTCTTACATTTTCGAATTCTTTTTATACTTATATGTATATACATCAACGCGGGCATTTATTTGCAGACCTGCTGGTTGGGATAACATGAAAAAGATTAGTATTCTACACGAGAACTTGCAATCTATGAAGGCGAATGATTATTATCGCGATGTTATTGCACAGCCAGCAATAAATCGGAAAGTATGCTATCGTCTTGTTTCTCTAATACATACACATTTTTGTTTTGAGAGAAATTGATAGTCCAACATTTAATTTATTGACATTATTGATTTAGTGTGTCGCCAGAGAAATGGAAGTTCAAGCGGAAGAAGAGCAAGCTTTTCTTGCGCGGCAGCAAGCTGCTCTATCAGGCTTGAAAGATCCCACTCGTTCTCCAACGACTCGGAATCAGGCAAGCCCTGGACCAATTATACAGGTTATACCATTTATACATAGAGCATGCTCTTCATGTTGCGTGTCAAATCAAAGGTACCATAGTACGCTACTAATTTTCTCATCGCACTTAAAAATTGTGCGAGTGATCCATTAATCTAATTCGTCACAACATCCATTATAAAATCATTGATTGTATAATTTATTTATATATTTGTATATATTCATTTATATATTCAATTGTTTCGTTATGCAGTATAATTGTACTTTCATAGTTATTTCGTTTATCCATATAGACGATTCATTTAATGTTAAAATCAGATGTATTTCCATTTTCATGTATTACAAGCCTATGCCTAGAAAACCCATATTGCTTAATGTATCTAATGAATTCGTTAAATGGAATGATAACATTGCAATTTATTAATATAGCGACGTCATAGCATATCCGATCAAATCATTTGTTTCATTTAACATGCAATAATTTAATCCTTGTCGCTAGAGGATGTTGATAAATCATGTACAAAACTTCCCAATAGTTTACTGTACAGTGTGTAATTGTTTAACAGTCCATGTAATTTCAATTCCAGCAATCATCTCGTATGGTTATTGCAGTATAACATTTGAAAGCATGTTCTAATCTATGTGGTATGATCTGTGGATTAAGAATATGATGTGCTTGAAAAATGGATGGACACTAATATATTTGCGAATAGGTGGCGTCGCCTAACAAGAAGTTGGATCCCAAAGGTACCGGCGCGACGCCGTCTGGAGAAGGTGTTTTAGCTAATTTCTTCAATTCTCTCCTTTATAAGAAGACTGGAGTGCAACCTGGTTCACCAGGAACGCCAGGCAACGTAGGAACGAGTCCCCTGAAACTTGGTAAGTAATAATAAATTTCTTTCTGTGTAAAGATGTTCTAAAAAAATATTTCGCATTTCAGAGGCTTCACCTGTGGATAAGGCGACGATGTGCAATGACGCAGCGGCGGAATTAGATCGTCTCACGCGGACCAAGAAAATTTCCCCACCCAATTTAAACTCGTCATCTGAATGTTAAAGTTAACGTGCTTTTTCTTCGCAATCTATTGTTGATGGAATGATAGCTTTGTGCTGCCATCGGATAGAATTAAAACGAGAATTGAAAATTGGGATTCCTGTATTCTATTCGTTGCAACGAAATAGATCGCGCATGTACTGCGCAACACGGAAATACATTGAACGAGCATAATGGTAAGATAGATCGTGAAGAAGTAAAATTTAGCTCTACTCATTAGTAATTTATCCTGATCAAATCAGAAAAAGGGGAGATTTAAAAAACAGAAAAGGGGAAAAAATAAAATATATAATTTATCACACAACTCGAGTGTTGTTTCACTAAATATCAGACAGAGAATAACTAGAAAGTTATTAAATTAATGTAATTAAAATATTTAATATAATATTATATCGAGAGATGTAGGCTTTACGCACAGCTACCCCAGCGCCTGGTCATAGTAAATTATTTAGCAATTGCCCTTCGTATATGTACGTGAAAACGGAAGCATATTTCTATGTTCATACACGATGCACATCTTTTTTTGTCTCTTCTTTGTAAGCGAATACTTTTATTACGTGTTTCGTACTAGATCATTTTCCTTCACGAGATAGTCTCCATGACGACTCGTCACTGCATTCGGTCTAATTTTTACGACGTAAGTGCCGTTAGCGTTGCGAATGCGTGAGATAGTCTTTTATACGAATTGTTCATAAAATACGCGAGACCTTTTAACAGAAGACGCAGTGCAGTCTTCACATTTAGGAATAGTTAATGGAACGAGACTGGAATGGATGTTCATATCGCGCGTGTAAATTCGAGATATTTTCTTTGTAGATTTCGAACTGTATCATCTTATTCAACTCGCGCAAACAAATGAACAGAAATCTGTACATTCAATTATCAATATACATATATATAAATGTGGCTATATGTACATGAAATTTAAATTCTCGAAGAAAATAAATAATTTTTCGTACATCGTCTCTTATATTCATTTTCAGCCGGAGTAATTATTTATTATACAAGTTGCAAATTTATCGTGAGATGTTCAATAAGAGAGTTTATATGGCAAGTTTACAAAATTTTTTTATTTTATTTTATTGGGTGGAATACATTAAAATAATTAATAATGCGATATTATTCTGTTCTATCAAACATATTTGCGATATAACTTAGATTGTCACATTTTTATTTATAATATATATAATTCGACATACTAATAATGTACGTTAATATCTAAATAAAAGTCAAGAAAGATAATATGAGATGGAACAGGAATGATCTTCGAGTCTGAATAATCTTATTTTTTATATGTATATAATATATTTCATATTCATGTCTATTTATTTCATATATTTGATACGTGAATATAAGTATTAATATAAGTAATTTTCAAGACTATGCGTGAGTTAATCTGCAAAAGATTGGATATAAATTTTGAAATCAAATATAATAAAATGTTAACTTTTTCATTATTCAAACTCGGAAGAGATGTAAACAGAAAAAAACACTACCATCACATGAAATATATACAAGAAATGCATAATTCTAAAATGCACAATTAATGCATAATTAAAATTGTCAAAGGGAAAATATAATAGATAATCGCGCTTTTATAATTAATAATGACACATAAATACACATTGATACTCATAATACATAATGATAATGATAATTGCGCAATAAAATATCATAGTATCAATAATGATTCACATTTTCAAGAGTCTAAAACAAATATTTTTAGCGAATTCTTAATAAAGTTTTTATTTATAAATTTATAATATATTTATTTCTTATTAATAAAGTTAATATAAAAGGCACTTATGCCATAAATAATCAATATAAATTTTATGTTGATTATCATAATTGTTGCTTTAAAAAATAAATAATAAATTTTAAAATTGAAAAATAAACGAAAAAGCTATTAATGTATAGATCCATTAATGCATTGCATCGAAAACATTTCTCTACTGGTTTAAATAATATATAAATAATGTATCACATCAGGAAATTTGTAATATTTAATAATAATTTTAATGAACAATGATTTTAATCATAATTTTCATACGATTTATATTTTTTACATTAAAAGATAAAATAATGCATAAATATATTTTTTATTTATTGATTTTAACAATCGCAAACCTGGAAATTATTCATGATGGATGTAAAGACAATTAAACTTACGTATATTAATAATAAATATTTGGAAGAACTCTTTTATATCTACTATTTTTTTCCATTTTCATTTAGGCAAAAAAAGTTAATAAATGATAAATAAAAAGCTTTGTAGAAAACATACTGGAAATATATGTTACATTCGTGTTTTAATATAACCATAAGAATATGAAACACAACTTTAACAGCATAATATATCATTTATCATGCAACAAGTTTTTCTTTTACTAGAGAGATATGAATATTAAATAATATAAGTGTGCGTACGCTATATATTTTTATCGAGCTTGTTTATCAATTAAATTATATTTTATGAATAATTGCAAGCTCGAAAATTATTATTTAGCATATACATTGTTTTTCAGTTTATATGCAACTGGATTATGTCTTTTTAAATTAATATTACTCTATCGATTCGCCTCGAATCTTCGCTATAATCTTGTTGTTGTCAAAAATAAACGTTAGTAAAAGAAGAAATTAGTCAGTTTTTCGTGTCGCGAAAAATGTGGCGGATAATCATAGATTATATAATTCGTTTATCGTGTAATCGCCGTCCTTGGAAAATTCCAGCGCGCAAATCCGATCGGTGACAGTCTTTTTATTTTTAGTTTTTAGTAGAGCAGAATGCGCTTGTCGACCGCCTTGCGACATATTGGACACTCCGACATACGATCGCCGCACATTTGGCAGGTGCCGTGTCCGCACAGGAAGATCATGTTTTTCAAACGATCCAGGCAAACCGGACACATAGTCTGCAACAATAAAATAATTCAATTTCATGACTTATTCTTTTTATCTCCGATATTTCTGTCTAAATTCTCTATCTCCTCTAATATGAATACATTATTTTATTTTATTTCATTCAAGCTTCTTTCTAAGTTTTTAAGATTCTTGTAATTAAAACCGATCTTTTCTTAATGAAAATATAATTTTGTACATGTTTATCATATTTTTCACATTTTTATATTAAAAAAAAATTTTTTAGCCTCTTTGAAGTCAAGTAAAAAGTGAAAAGTAAATCTTCCTAGTTAATATATCTTTGTAATTGCAAAAATATATGTGAAAACTAAACAGAATGTGATAGATTTAAGTTATTGTGCTACAAAAAACTTAGAATTTTTGAGAGAACGTATATATTCTGGTTCTTCGAGAGAGCGAATGGTAATTGTATAGAGCAATTGCACGGTGCAGACTTCTTCCTTCGGCACAAACGAAATTATTCGTTTCATTAAAGCGGCGTATAACGAAGCGAGACGTAGAGGGGACACGTACTTGTTCCTTGATGTCCTGCAATTGCTGCTGTAGTTTTTGTATGTCGCTGTGGGAAGTATCTCGGCTGCCGTTGTTCATTAGGAGAGCTTCCCCAGCTATGGTGTTGTTCGAGGGCGTCGGCTCCTCCTCGGGATCTGCGTTGACTTCAGATATCGTTCCTAATGTAACAATCAATTTTTTAAAACAAAAAGTTCACGAAAAATGGACGATGCTCTTAATCATTGGCTCATATTTTTATTCGCGATGTATCATAATGTATCAACGCAAAATTAAATGTTTAATTGAAAAGAGCAATTAACAATATTATGTAACATAATTAGAAATATAAAGAAATACTTTATATAATATATCCGAGATTTCATTAATAATCTAAAAGATCAAATGTACATGTATTAACTATAAAACTGGATAAAACGTCATCTTGATTATCATATTTTAAAAACGAGCTTTAATCTCTCTAATCAATCTCGGATTTGTATGTTCAGAGTGACTAGATAGATCGAGGTGAGCTATCTAATCGCTACTAGTTCTACATGGGAACAGTTTGATATATTTAGTGCGATTAGATAGGTCGGGATGTGAGATATCAAGCGTCCTATGCAAAGTGAACGCTATACCTGAGGCGTTGCAGTCTTTTACGTAAGTGACATCACCTCCGCCACCGCAGCAAACCGAGAGCGGTACCATGTGCTGTATCTGAGCTCGGCATTGCACGCACTTCTTCATCAGGGCCGCGCAGCCCTCGCAGGCGCACATGTGTCCGCATGGACGGAACAGCATACCCGCCTTGCGATCCGAACACACCACGCATTCTTCGATCTGGGAACAAATGTCCATTATTACGCGAAGGCGTGAATGGAACGCGCCTAGAATTTCGAGATCTATTCCAGGATAGAATCAAACTATCCGGTCAACTATTATTACTCCTACGTAAAGAGAAATTTACACAGCGGTATTAAATTACGTCGATGAAAAGAGCGTAATTTGTAATTTGATTAAAATGTCATTGATATCGTAGATCTCGATTTAAATTAATTATTAAAAAAAGATGTATCTGGCTTCGTAAAATATGTAGAGTTGGTTGGCGTATAAAAATCAATTCGATTTTTTTCAGATAAAATTAACAAAAATCACAAAGTAAAATATCGATCGGTGGTGATAAGAATAAGATGTCAACGACGTAAATTACGGATAGTAATGTGTAACAATATAAGAATGTAATAGTGTCAGCAATGTCTTATACCTTTACTCGAGAAAGAACGTTCTCACGGCAAAGCAAACATTTTTTCACTCTCGGTGCACAGGCGTTGCAACAAGCCACGTGTCCACATGGACTGAACAGCATTTCTCGTTTACCATCAGAACATACGAGACACTCGTCGATCGCCGCTGATGGGGTGACGATTTCAATATCATGTCTGGAAGAAAGAAAAGTGGCTTAGTAAACATTATAGATACAGAGTATGAAATAATTGTACAAGAAACTGGAATACCATATATTTTCAGAAAATATTCTATGTCGTATTTAAATATTAATTGATTATTATATTAGACAGTTTGAAAGAAGAACTCGATTACACGTAATAATATATTTTTAATATATTTTTAAATAATAATTAAAAATATTTTTTGTTTATATTACATGAGTTAAGAGATTAAAAGACCAGAGAGTCGTCTCGGATACTAACGATTCCTTGTCCTTGTGGCAGGTAGTTAGGGTTTTGCAGAGATTGGGATCCGGACAGAGATCCAAGGGTGTCTGACCCTTCTTGTTCTTCAGCTCCAGGTCGGCGCCATGCGCCGCCAGGAAGCACGCGATGAAGGAACTACTCTTCTTGTCCTGACCCTGAGTGCCTAGACCCATCAATAGTCGTCCGACGTCCTGCACGTCCTGCAGCTGTCGCAGTTGTGACAGCGTGTGATGTCGAAGTGCCTCATGCAAGGGCGTATCCCCATCCTTATCGGCGACGTTTAGATTCGCACCTTCGCGAACTAATAACTACAATTAGACAAATCATATTGCAAATTAAAGACCTTTCTTTAAAGAAGGAATTTTAATTATCCGTACTATTAGATATCAATCCATAAAAAAGTATCTTTAATTTTTGTCATTGTTAGAAAATTAATTATTATTAGATAAAAGATTTTCACGATTACCCGAAAAGTCAGAATTGAAGTTAAAATAGAAGTAAACGCACCCGGACAATCTGCGTGTGTTGTCGTTCGACAGCCAGATGCAGAGCGGTTTGTAAGTTCACGTTCTGCAAGTCTAGATCAGCTTTTCCGGCACGTGCCAGTTGTTCGGCGACTTCAACATGATTGTTAAGAGCAGCCAAATGAAGTGCCGTATAACCGTCATCCTTCTTCTCGTCGACGATCCAGGGCCGAGGGAGTTTCGATAGCAGGACTCGCATCGCACTGAAACCAGACAAAAAGGCAAAATATTAAGGCAAAAAGCCGCAATTGTATTTTGCACGCGGAAAATTCATTTTCGTTACGCTTGCAAAGCATTTTAGTACCAGTTATTTTATAACGAGTTTTGTCCTAATTAGTTTTCCACTTTTCTCTTTCTTTTTCTTTTCTCATTTAAAAAACATTCCATCTATGTAATGATATTCATGTTTTTTTATTTGTCACAAGATATTTTGTCTTATGTGATCACGCTCACATTCCATTTTTATGAAACTAGAAACAATACAAGCGTGCGCTATTCTTCAATTTTATATTAAAAAGAATTTTTATAAATTAATATTAAAAAAATTAAACAAAAATTGATCGATATTGAAAAAAATGATATAAAGTTGATTTAAACTCGATTAATATTTTTGACAGTTATCAGCTGATTTCTGTCAAAAATATTAATCTAAATATAAAATATAAATATGTTATAAAAATTAAAATAATATTTTTATATAATATGTTATAAGATTTTAAACTCGATTAATATTCTTAACAGTTATCAGCTGATTCGTGTTAAAAAATCCTCGATTAATATTTTTGACAGTTATCAGCTGATTTCTGTCAAAAATATTAATCGAGGATTTTTAACACGAATCAGCTGATGAAAAGAGAAATAGAATTCTTGAAAATTGACTTGCGTCTCACCTTTAAACTCGATTAATATTTTTGACAGTTATCAGCTGATTTCTGTCAAAAATATTAATCTAAATATAAAATATAAATATGTTATAAAAATTAAAATAATAATTTTATATAATATGTTATAAGATTTTAAACTCGATTAATATTCTTGACAGTTATCAGCTGATTCGTGTTAAAAAATCCTCGATTAATATTTTTGACAGTTATCAGCTGATTTCTGTCAAAAATATTAATCGAGGATTTTTAACACGAATCAGCTGATAAAAAGAGAAATAGAATTCTTGAAAATCGACTTGCGTCTCACCTTTAAACTCGATTAATATTTTTGACAGTTATCAGCTGATTCGTGTTAAAAAATCCTCGATTAATATTTTTGACAGTTATCAGCTGATTTCTGTCAAAAATATTAATCGAGGATTTTTAACACGAATCAGCTGATAACGACGCAAGTCGATTTTCAAGAATTCTATTTCTCTTTTATCAGCTGATTCGTGTTAAAAATCCTCGATTAATATTTTTGACAGAAATCAGCTGATAACTGTCAAAAATATTAATCGAGGATTTTTTAACACGAATCAGCTGATAACTGTCAAGAATATTAATCGAGTTTAAAATCTTATAACATATTATATAAAATTATTATTTTAATTTTTATAACATATTTATATTTTATATTTAGATTAATATTTTTGACAGAAATCAGCTGATAACTGTCAAAAATATTAATCGAGTTTAAAGGTGAGACGCAAGTCAATTTTCAAGAATTCTATTTCTCTTTTCATCAGCTGATTCGTGTTAAAAATCCTCGATTAATATTTTTGACAGAAATCAGCTGATAACTGTCAAAAATATTAATCGAGGATTTTTTAACACGAATCAGCTGATAACTGTCAAGAATATTAATCGAGTTTAAAATCTTATAACATATTATATAAAATTATTATTTTAATTTTTATAACATATTTATATTTTATATTTAGATTAATATTTTTGACAGAAATCAGCTGATAACTGTCAAAAATATTAATCGAGTTTAAAGGTGAGACGCAAGTCAATTTTCAAGAATTCTATTTCTCTTTTCATCAGCTGATTCGTGTTAAAAATCCTCGATTAATATTTTTGACAGAAATCAGCTGATAACTGTCAAAAATATTAATCGAGGATTTTTTAACACGAATCAGCTGATAACTGTCAAGAATATTAATCGAGTTTAAAATCTTATAACATATTATATAAAAATATTATTTTAATTTTTATAACATATTATTTTAAAATTTAATTAGCAAATTGACGCTTTAGCCTCTTTTAGAAAGGGATATACATTTTTTGATTATCTCTTTCTTTTCCTGATATATTCGCGATTTTAGTTTTCTTTGTTACTATTATAGCTGCTTATATTATTCGCATACTTTGATGTCTATATTAATATTTGTTTCGGGACAATTTTTTTGCAAGAATAAATTTAATTTCTATCCATCTATGTTGGTATGGCATATAGAGAAGTACAATCCCGAATTTCCTTGTTAGGTGATTTGCTTCCGTGTATCTTGCGCGTATTTCTAACTACTCGTCGCGGTAGGGACCCCATGGTGAGGTAACGAGAAAGAAAGACGGGGACAGCTGTTTCGTCGACGGGGCCTCTCCGAAGTCAGGGGGACTTCTTCGAGGCGGTAGCCGCTGCTGGGGCATGACGGAAACGCATGTGTTTCGTCACATATGTGACGGCTATACACATGTTCCGAAACATGTCTCGCACAAACGGGAGACCTTCTCTATCCCGTCCTTTGGAGAAAAATGTCTCGCCAATTATGTCACGGATACTTTCGTAGAATCCATTAGTCAAAGAATCCGGCTCGCGGAAATTTCGACGATTAGTCGCGCGATTTCTGTATCGTTGTAAAACACAAATAACAATTAACGACTTGAGAAGGGAAAAGAAATGTGTCTTTTGATGAGAAAGAATTTTTGCGATAAATAAAATTACGCATAATGCAACGGGAGGAAGAGAGAGCAAAATCCAATGACACATGAATCCTGATTTAACCCGAAAAATTTGCGATTAATAACTCTAACGAGTAATAATTTTACTATCTTAACGATGAGTAACGATCTGTGAAAAAATTACTGTTTGCATATCAAGTACGGTATAATGTATGCGTGCGGTGTCATACGGGAGTAATTGATGTTTGCGTTAAATTTGCATCGCCGTTATAAGCGTCGTCGCCCGCTTCGCGGGGAGGTCATCAAATTTTTACGACGCGTAAGCGGCGTCGTTTTTCATTAACGCGGTCTAAGGGACACACGCGTTTTGCATCCAAGTGCGATCGTCGCGGCATTCCGATGCCCTGCGACATAGAGCAATATATAGTAGCAACGAGGCCGACTGCTCCTCTCCTTGTCATGAATATGCAAACGGCCGCAAATGTTGCCGTTACCGCGTTAATAACTATAAATCGATTACTTTGCCAATTATGTCCGGGTATACGTACTCGCACGTCGACACCGCTCGCGCGTGCGATTTTATTGCGTCATTAATCGGACCCGCAATTTCATTCCGCGCGCCTTCTCTCTCTCTCGATGTGCTGCTCTCCATTTTTTTTATTTCCGCCTTAATTCTCTCGGCTCTTGCCGAAATAATTGCGATGAAAACGATCGGAATAACGCGACGAATTTAAATCGCTCACCTCACATCAACACTGTCTCTATACGTCACGCTAATTAAAAAAGATAAAAGATGATAAAACGAATATCATGCGTGGGTTGATTATAATTTTCTATTTTTTTGTATAATATAATACGTAGTTATTTCCACTGATATGAGAAAATAAGCTATATATATACGTTAAACTTTTCTCTCTTATCTAAGTTAAGCATAAATGAGACCCAGTATCTTTTTATTAGAAAAGACCAGAAATTTTCCCGCGTTCAAAAACCTTGTCGCTATTAGAAAGAATTTATCGTCCGCTCTTTGAATTTTCGCGTTAGACGAAATTACGCGTCCGCGAATGAAAAGACGCGATGACGTTGATTTAACGCGGCCAATAATTATCGCAATTACAATGGCACAATCTCTTGCACGATGTAATAAATAGAAATAACGATCGCGCGAATTTCCCATCTCGGTTATTACATTCTGTCAGTCTCTCCGGTTTAATTTCCTATTTTGTCACATCTCGTAAGCCAAAAGACGCGAAATTCGTCATAATCGTGGTTCGTATAAATACTTCATCTGACTTAGACGATGTATCATGACGCGTGATATTATTACCGCGATTAATTTCCCCTCATTCGTCGACGAGGAACAAAAGTCCTCGCCGACATCTTTATCCGTTTATTGGCGTCAATGAATCGTCGTTAGGCATTCTCAATGTTACTACTCGATGTCCTAACGTCGTCATAGTTCGCATTTAGTTCAACTGATCATTATGATCTTAAATCATCATTTATTATCATATCTCGGAATTAGAACAATGTCTTTCTGATGTATTCAGAAAATCCTGAAAAGACGTTTAGAAACATCGATTCGGATGAGATTCTTGCGAGATAAAAATGCATTGCATCTGTAAAAAAAAATTACTAATATTTTCGCGAAATTCAAGCATCAATTAATTTGATTGAAATTTTTTCATTTTATTGGATCTTTTTTTTTTTTAAATTTGGAATACCTGTTATTTGAACAGTATAAATAGCTTAAATAAATTTCAATGAATTTGATACTATTTTTCGATACTTTTGCCATAGCGTACGAAGAGAATGTTGTCTTAGAATTTACCCTGAAAATCATGATAATTGTAGGACAATATTGAAAGAATTTTATAAATTAATAAAAAATATTAATATGTACATAGTAAAATTAACCGAACATATTTTATTGTGGTAGATATTACTATTTTTAATTTGTTCAATATTTAATTAGAGAAACTCTCATAAAATTCTTCCAATACCATATATTATTTCACACGATTCCCATGATTTTCAGGGTAAATTCCAAGAGAAAATTCTCTCTACGTGCGTTGACGAGTTTTCGAAGAGAGAGAGAAAGAAAGAGAGATTCCAAATAAGCTCCAGATATAAAACCGCTCGCTGACGCGAGCGGATGCGAATCAAGCTCGCTCCATGTAAATCACGCACGCATATATTGAGCATTTAGTGAGTCAGCGACGGTCGTGGCATCATCACGACGGAGTCCACCGAGAACTCGAACGGAGATCCGACAACACGCGTGCCTCTGTTCCTTCCGATGCACATCGTTGCAACAAGCGAGGCTTCGACGAGGCGCGTTTGGCCTCCTCCGTATTCCGCAGCGTGCAGTGAGT